TTCGCGCCCCACAGCAGCGTCTGGCGCAAGCTCCGGTAGGGAGACGGCTGCAGCTTCAGCTTCACAGTGCTGTCTGGGCTACCAGAGCCATGAGAATTGCTGTAAGGAAGAAGGGAGCTGCTGCAGCATCCCCATCCCAGCTCTGGGCTCATCTGGCTGCCCCCTGTGTCAGGAGAGCTTGTGCTGGGCATCTGGTAGCAGGTATCATGACCCTACACTGCTACTGCAGGCTTGACAGACCTGCTCCTGTGCTTTCTGATCCTTTCTTCAGCCAAAACTCCCCAGAGGGAGCACCCTGGAGGAGCCCTACCCCATGGCAGACCCTGATCCCAGCACCCCGCTCCTAACGCCCCCTCTGTGACCAGCCCTCGGCCAATGATGGTGGGGGGGATGGCTGCCCCCTGGCCTGTCCCTCTGCCCCCAGCCAGTGGCGAGTGAATGATGGGGAGTGCAGCAAGACAGGGAGGGAGCAGGACAGGGAGGGAGCGTGGCATGGCGTGACTTACTGTGGAGGTAGAAGCTTCTTGCTGGGGGAGAAGACGAGTGGTGGATCTGGAAGGTTATGAGAACACAAGGGGATCACATGGTGAGCAACTCAAAGTGATGATGAGGAGATGGCGGCATCCACTACTACCATCCCTGGTGAGCCCCCCAGCCCCGGGCTGGCTTGTCCCCCTCCCTGGGCACTGGGTCCTGCCACTCTGCACATGATGTTTTGAGCTCTCCGGGAGCTCCAGGATCCAGGTGCCTGCACCCAGCCAGCTGGCTCCTACCTTGCCTTCGCTTCTGGATGCGGGCAGCACGCCGGCGGTTCATGATGCAGGCGGCCATGGTGCTGAAGATGACAGCCACGCTGAGGAAGCAGATCCCCCCGATGACCCCGGCCAGCACCGGCTGCGGCAGGAGCTCTGGCAGCTGAGTGCGAGACGGATACACCTCCATGCCTGGGCCAGACAAGAGGCATGGTTACCCGTGGAGCATGCCAGCACAGTGGGCACAGCCTCCCTCACATTGCCAGCACCACAAGGATAAACAGCAAAGTCTTGGCTCTCTCTCCCCTTGGGGCTGGTCTGCCTTCAGGCAGACCCATGCCCTCTGCCGTGCTGGGTGCCAGGAGCAAGGACGCTCTGTGAAGAGCTCTCCTGCTACCTGGTCCATGAGACCGAAGTCACACCAGATCCACAACTGGAGATGGCTGTTCCCACAGCGTTAGCTTTGTGGGTCCTGCTCTGGACCCTGCATCCCCTGGTCTAGCAGCAGGGACACTTGGGAGCAGGAGCAGCATGAAGGGGTTTCTGTTTGGGAAGATCCTAGACCACACCGGGCACTTTACACCTCTGGTTTCTGTCCCCAGGGCAGGAAGAGCAAGTGGGTGGCAGCCCAGGCCTTACCTGCTGTGGAGACGTTCACCGTATTGCTGGGATCGCTGATGTAGCTGCCAGCAAAGGCCACCAGTCGGAACTCGTAGAAGGCGTCCTGGGGGAGCAGAGGGCCATTAGACTTGTT